TTGAGTGTTTAAAAATTAATTTTGATTGTTTTATCAGCAACTTAAATGTCAACTTGTATTAAAAAAAAAAGTAATAAATTTACCATTTTATTTACATATATGTAAAATTTAATTGAATTCTTAATCGCACTATAATTAAAAAATAATTATAAAAATCCTGTGTTATAATATCAATGTAATTAATAAATTTAAAATATTGTTTAAGAAAACATAAAAAAAAGCAATTCTAATTGGTAACAATTACTTGATTACACCACCATGCTTATACCCCTAGGTACACCAGTATTAGTTGGTGGTATCCCAGTGTTAAAATTTTTATTTATTTACCAAGAAAATATAAACAAATTATAAATTTTTTTATAGAAACAAAAAACCATTTTTAAGTATTTATGGGATATTCAAATAACAAAAACAAAGAAAACAATATTGTCAAAATAAAGTAATTTAAATAAAAATACAAGTAAATTAATAACTTTGTGTAATATTTTTTTTTATATTTAGAAAAGAATACATATACACAGCTACTCATAAAATATTCTAGCAAAATTTTTTGAAAAAGAAGTAAGAATTATACTCTTACCAAAATAGTACGTCCATATTTTCACAATAAATTTAATGAATTCAGTCATGGCCAATTTTATTACAATAACTTTTTTAATTTTCTAATAAAAACTATAGCAAAAATCTTTAATTATTTAATATGTACATACATACATACATACATATATTGTGAACGTAAGTGTCTATAATAATTCTTGTTCAGAAGATAAAATGGAATTTTTATTGAATATAATTATATTAGGTTGCTTTTAGCTAATAAACAAATTTCAAATTTTGTATAAGTATTCCGAAATTTTTAACTTATTTATAAATTATACATAATATATATGTGCATATGTAAAATCTAATTATATAATGTTAACGATTGAAGCGAAATTTATAAAATTTTAAAATTCCATAATAAAGAAAAATATTCTAATTTTTTTTTAAAATAAGTTGTTTTTTATATCAATTGGTCATATTTTTTAAACCGTATACGTATTTAATTTTATAACATAAATTAATACAATTTCAAAAATTAATTATTTAATATTAACAAGTTTTTACACATTTTATGTATATGATTTCAATATGTTTTCAAATATGTAGGTAAAACATTCATATTGAGAAGGAGACAATTATAAGCTGCCGGTGTACATCCGGTAGATTTAATATCGACCATTATTTAATGTATTAAATAAATTAAAGAATTTGAATTGAACGAACTATATATGCATTAAGTTCATTCATAATTTATATTCATATATGTGAATGTAGCTAAATAGAATTTGGAATTAATTTTTCAAAGTAAAATAGTTTATCAGTTAAATAAGTTCGATTATTAACATACTATATTTATACAAGTACTGTAGGTGCACATCTAGTTTAAAATACCTGAAGCATGTTTAATTTTTGAATAAATAAACGAAAATTTAATATCTTCCAAATTGACAGTATGTTAAATGCTAATAATTTGTGAAGCTGAATAAGAATCGTAAGTGTATGGACTACAAACTAAAATGTAGTAACACTATTTACAAACTGCGTAATGGCTTTACAGTACTTAAAATTTTATATACACTGTACAACTTTTGTTGACATGAAAACTTACATATGTATGTACACAGCAGTTTAAAACAAAAATCAAAATTTTATTTAAGTTGAATTTTTTTACAACAATGATTCGATGCACATAATAAGTGCGTATAAATTATGTTCATGTAAGCGCACACAAAATTTTAAGAGTCCGATTACTCTATATATAATTCAATGTTATTTAACAAACATTGTTTGTTTTGGCCTTATTGGTAACTTTCAAATTAAAATATTATTAAATCTAAGTGCTTTTACCTACATATACATATATAATTCTTACTCTTTCCTGAAGCCCTTTTTAAAATTCTCAAAATTTTTTAAAAACATTCTATATGGAAATTTACATCTCTCGCCTTATTATCTTTACGTCTATTATAGTCTTACATGCAACAGAATATGGCAGTACGTATATCTACGTATAATATGGAATATTATACGTAGATATATATACATACATAACATACACGCATTACAAAATTTCAATAATAATTATTACTTGATTGTAAATTTGCAAGCTGAATTCAAAATAAATAAAAAAAATTGCAACAGTAAAAAGTTAAAAACGAAATATTTTGCATTTGTCAGACTTTAGTTTATCACACCTAAATTAAGAAATTATAAAAAAAGCATCAAATAAAAAAAATGTAATTAAAGCTAATTTGAAAATTAAATATGCATTATGCAATTATTGTGAGGTTATGTAGGGCATTTTTTCCTATATGCTTACTTTATAGTATAATTGTTTTTTTTGTTGCTCATATTAATAATTTGCAAGTTTTATTGAATTGAATGTACTATAGAAGGAATATGTTAACCTGAAAACTAAGAAATTGTCTTTAGTGCGTGTATTATTTTAAAATTTTAAAACTAGATAGTGAAAAAATTTTTATTTCGTATTAGTACTTAACATGGTACACAGTACATATTATGTACATACTTATATACATAAATTTGTACCTAAATGCTTTATGCTTACATCGTACGTGAACAAAAACAGAAAATATTAAAAGCTTGTATGTATGTATTTATGTATATATATTTGTAGTGCGTATTAATTGTAGATTCAGCAATATTAAGTACATATTTTTATCGAATTTATTGAAAAAAAAAAATATGCTGGTTGTAAAGTATGTACTTGTGTACATATGTATACTCGTATCAATATTATATTATGATAGATGTTCTGATGACAATACATGTTGAAATTTTAGTAGTGTCAAAAGCCGGCGGGTGTAACAAATATAGTTTTGTGTAGTTATGAATTTTTTCTATGTTAAAATTTTTACTATTTTCTAACGTTATAATTATGACGTTTTGAAATATTAAATAATTAATCAATATTTTGGAAAAATGCTTTAAAATTTTAAAATTACCATACTTGTTATAAAAATTATAATTATGTTGTGTATTATCACGTTTATTAGAATCACTAAATAAAAATAATGTAAATAAAAACAAAGTAAAAACTTGTTTAGATTTTTTCTTTTTATTTTCTCGTGTCCTCACTTTATATTCTTTTTTTTTATCATTATGATATTTTAGAGTTCTCGAACTTGGCAGATAAAAAAATAATAATCATAAAATGACAATAGTGATCAGAATTACAGTGATCAAAATCAAGTTAAACAAGATTTTCATTATTAACACACTATCAAAGGTAAAAAGAGAATAAACAAAAAAAAAGGAAAAAAATTAAACAAGAATAACAGTTACACCGTGAATCAGTTTTAAAAATCTTTGTCAGGTTTTTGATTTTTTCTTTTTCTATTTTTTGTTTTGCTCTCGGTAGAAATGATTGCACATACACAAACTCTTAAATTAAATGGCATTGTCCCTTTTGCAAATACATAATCGAAAACCGTGTAGAAAGGTATAATCGTAATTTGAAGATGGAGAGATACGAAATCAACTTAGTGAAATAAAATAAACAATATTGTCTTTTAATGTCAAGGACAGAAAAGGACAAAACTAATCACATACAAATCTTTGTTGTTTTTGTTGTTTTAATTTGAACAAAACGAAATTGAAATTTGGAGAATTATACAAACAAGTGAATTTCAAAGTACGTACAAAAACAAAACAATCATGACAAGTGATTTTTTTTATTTAAGCGTTCATTTTATTGTCATAGAAGTGTTGACATTTTACTTTTTGTTGTTCTTTAAAAAAAAAAAAAAACACAATCCAGATTCTTAAAATTCAAAGGGTATAAAGTTTTGTGTACGCACCATCTATACTATCTTGATTACGTATTATTTATATGCAAAATAAATTTATTTGAAATATTTCTCTAGCAAAATGTTTAGGTGCACATTATTATATTGTAAATGCAGTACAATTGCAAAAATTAATTTTTGGAAAATTAAAAAATTTTCTGAACTTAATTTTTCCACTACAATTTATGCTGATTTTCAAATTGTGTCATACTACAAAATATGGTGTGTAACTCGGCTTAAGCGTAAATATTTCAATCGTATTTAATTTCTTCTTTATTCTTTACTTTTTAATATTAACTCAAATAAAATATCATTTTTGGGGTGGATAATTATATTTTTTATCAATCATTTTTGTTAAAAAATGCAATAAATTTAATTTTGATTCAAATCTTTAATTCCGATTGTTATTCGAAAAATTCAATCAAAAAATGCCCCACCTAATTTTTTTAGCATTTTTTAAAAATTTATATTTAGTACAATTTCCAAGAAATTTAAATTTAGTATTTTATTGAATTTAGATGGCAACATTCGAAAAATAAGTATGTATAAAGCATTTTATAAACATATGCGTAAACGTCATATTATAATTATTCGCGCATTTTTTCTTGTTTTTAATTTATATTGACTTCTGAACAAGTGATAATAAACATTAATAATTATGTAGTAATTTTTTTTTTTCAATAAATTTTTGAGGGAGTTTGTTTACTTTCCTAAAATTTATTACCTATGTGTTTAATTACTTCTTGCTTTAGCCTTTAATTTAATATCTGCCTTAATAATATTGTGCTCAAGCTGGGACGTAAGTACAAACATGCATACATTCATACATGAATTTAGTACTTACCTGCTACTCATTTTGTATGTAATGTTTTTTAAATATAACTTATAATATAAAAAATTGTGAATCATCGCGAAAAATACTTAAATATTTTTTAATAAAAAATAAAAATAATTTATGAGAGTCTAAAAATAATAAATTTTATTGATGTGATAAGTAAAAAAATATGTACCTATATACTTACATACTCATACACATGTATATATGTATGTATATCTATAGAAATAAAATTTAATAAATTGTAGATGACAAACAATCGTACATACATATATTTAAGTATAAATAAATATATAAATAAATTTTTATACAAAAAAATTGATGAATAAAAAAGTAGTGATAAAAGAAATGCTAATAAGAACCAATTTAAATTAAAAATGAGTGATAAATTATTCTTTAATTTTGAAAAAATTTAACTCATATTTTGAAATTAATAAATTAAGTTTTAAAATATTATTTAAAAGCAAATAAGGAATAAGAACCTACCTATTACCTAATTATATTTTATTTGGATACTATATTTGGACTGGCCGGCTTCACACTGGATACTGGTACCGCTTTTACATTAGCCTACTCGGATTGGCTGACCGAACCAACAAGGTATTTTAAAACATACATATGTATTTAAATAAGCAATCTTGATGTTTAAATGTTAATTTATTAAGAAAAAATCATTTGCCTTTAACAAAGATATTAAAAATTATGTACTTAAATATTTTAATGGGCCTCATTGTGGGTTTGTTTTAAATTGAGCTGAATTTATGTTTGTCAACCTGATTTATAATTTATAAGTGTCAACCTGATTTGGAGATTTTAAATTTTTAATAATTTAGAAATATTAGAGAGTTAATACTTGAAGTCAGAGAAGAAGTTCATTACTGAGCTGAGAAGAAGTTCATTCAAATATGCTTTTGAGAGTAAAGTTCAATATTTTCAATATTTCGAAAATATGCATGCATATGTATGTAAGTAAATTTCGTCAATATTTTGTAGTCTGTGTTATGATATTATCTAAGCAGCTATTTCAAAATACCTGCTTTGTTAAAATTTTATTTAATAATTCTAAACAGTAGATAATTTTATTAATTTCAAGCTTATTTCTATGAACAGATCGGAAGTGTTCATCACACAACTGACCGGAAGGTGTATTGTCTAGTTTAGCAAAAAATGTTGCACTAGAAAAATGTAAATTTGACTCTTAGTAGAGGCTCACTTTATGCCATGTAAATTTTCTGAAAAAATGAAATAGTAAAAAATGTAAAATTGGTCCCTAGTGAAAGTCCAAAAAATTTATAACCTCATTTTTTTAACACACTAAATTCGAATATAAAATTTTAGAAAATCGGTTGATTCTCTTCATATGCGCACAAATTTAAATTTGGACCGTAATTAAAATTCAATTTCTGATTTCTGAATTATTCCAAAAGGTATATGATTTTGCGTATTGTCAAACATAGTTTATATATAAAACTGCGAGTTAATTGGTTGAATATTTTCTTTAAATGATTAAAAATGTAAAATCAGCCTCAAAAAAATCCAGTTCACGGGAGCTGACATAATAACAAAAAAGTTGATGAATCCGTAGCATAGCCAAAGTAAACTCTTATAAGTGTAAAATATTATCAAAATCGGTTCAGCTGAACTTGAGATATTGATCTGCACAGGTTGATTAGCAGATAGATGACAGATAGACAGACAGACCGATATAAATCTAAAAATAGTTTATTTACCCTTCCTCAGCATGCAGAAATGCGTTTCCGCCGAAAACTTGAAATATAAAATTTGGTGCCATCACATAACCTCCTATTGTTTATGCAATGTGGTCGATTGAAAATGTTTAATTTAGCGTTTTTCTTATTTTTATTCATAACGAATTATTGAAAGCCCATTTTAAGTATTAGGTAAGTATAATTCCGTGGTTCAAGTGGTTAGTTAATTATTTTAAAGTTAATTTTGCGCTACTTACATTAAATTAAAATTTTTAATGAATAAGTATTTAAATTTTGTTTTCTTCTATTAAAATTTTGTTAAATCTAATTGCCATTATTTAAATTTTATCTTTTGCCTATAATTGACAAAATTTAAATTGTTGAATACATGTACGTGTACCTATTCATTTTTAATATATGCCAAGTTTGTGTTCATTATTCCTAATGATAAAATAAATTTAAAACGATTCATCAAAGGTTTCTTCGTATACCTTGTATTTTGATGTCCCCTCAATATATTTTAAATTCTGCAAAGGTTGACAATATCGTTTTTGTTTTTCTTTTTCTTCAACAATCTTCATCTTTATCATTTATACGAAACAATTTTTTTTTTCTGTTAAAATTTTAACCAATTCACTTAAAACTTTAATGTCCTTTTAGATTTCTTTTTGATTACAATACAAACATAAGAGAATTTAAGTTGTACTAAAGAATATACTTAAAAAACAAAATAAATAAATGTCCTTTTCTAACACTTTCCCATGGTTTTTTATTCAACTGCTGTGCTGCTAAAGTAATAATAATAAATCTTATGTCTCAAAAGATACGTAAATAAGAAAAACTAAAAAAAAAATACCAAATAAGAAAAAAACTATAAACGATCGACCGTTGGTTACCACCGTGTTTTTTTATTTAACATTCATATTGTAATCGTCTTTTAATTTTTTTTAAAAATGAAATAAGAATATTGCGCATAAGTATATTTAAATTTATTTTAGGAAAGGTCATTGCGCAGTAGCTTTCATTTTTTTTTAACACATTTAAAATTTTTATTATAGAAATACTTACTTGTCAATGTATGTGTTCATAGTTATATAAAAAGATGTGTAGTTATATATTATCCAAAATAAATATGCAACATCACTTTAAAAGGATGTACAGCATTAATCCTTTCGGAATATCTCTTTTTATAATTCGTTATTTTATTTATTTTACTTGCCATACAATAAATATACCCCTGAAAAATGAGGGTCCATTAAAAAATCTACGTAATTTTAAAAATTTATTTAAATTATTTTTAAAAACTGTAATACGTACATATATGTATGTGTACTTGCTTATATTCGTTATGCTTGTTTAACAGAATACATGTCTGCTTTTACAAATTTTAAATCTGGAAAGAAAATCAAATTAACAGGGTGTTTCTAATAAAAATTTCGATGTACTTTTTTATTTTGTCAATTCAATCAAAGATGTGTTTAATAAAATATAAATGTAATCAAATTTTCTGAAAATATTTTTATGATTTAAGATGAGAATTTTTATGAAACGCATTAAAAAAATCGGTTTGATAACTCATTTAAACATTTTAAATTTAATGAAAATCAAATTTCTAACTAATTTTTTAATTGAGCAAAGCCATTTACTTTTTTAAAATTTTTTAATGGAACAACAAATTCATTTAAGGAATTAAAATTTTTAATAATAAATTTGAAAGTGGATAAAAAAAGAGTTAAAAAAGGCAAGATACACGATTAGACTGCAAATATTAACAAGTTCTTACTCTGTTATTGTTCCCCTCGTACCAATTCATACTTATATAATGTAGAATTGAATTCAATAATAAAAGAATACTCGTATATTTCAAATGTTTGTAATAAGAAGAATTGTAATATCTTCTCATACTTACTCACTTTTATTTTTTTTCAACAAATAAGAAAATATAAAAAATGGTATTATAAATATTTTTCACTATTTCTAACGTTGAAAAGTAATACATTTGGTATACTAATGGAATTTGAAAATTTAAACATACATTTGACAACTTGCAATTTTTTTACTAATATTTAATAAAATTAGAATGAACTTAGAATAATTTTGAAATTTATTCGGTTTCATTTCAGTTTCATACATTTAATTTAAGATTAAAGAAGTTACAGAACTTTTAAACTGTCCACGATTTCAGTGTTTAAAATTTCCGTATATCGGATAAAACTTATGGTTTGATTTCTTTAAATCTTACAAAGTGTACAAAATACTGTTCTAAAACAGCTTTATTAACTTTTATAAATACTTGACTTTATTGAGTTTTCCACATTTAAAAATGCGAAATGCATTTTTTAATCAATATTTCTTAAAAATACCTCCTTAAAATAATGTTTAACAGCTTTGAGTTAGGTGGCACAAATATTAATGAATTACTTATATTGTTGTTTTTAGATTCATTTTTTAAATTTGAAAGTATTAATACTGATCACACAAAATACATGACTGCTTATACACATATTTACTTGTATTCTAAAAATTCTTAATGAAAATTTTCGCCCTCCTTGAAATAGAAAGGATATCATCACAAACCTTTTTAAAATATTTTAATATAAAAAAAAAAAAAACAAAATAAAAATAAAACAATAATAAATGCCCAAAAGATCTCATCTCAATTCTTCACTAACTTTATCTCTTCAGATATTCATTTGTGCTTGTGTGTGTACGTTATGTTTATGTACAAATTATTTTTTATTTTTCTTTTAACCCTTTTTATGTCTGTTCCTTCCTAATAAACGTGTGATCACAGTCCATTCACGGTATTCAAAACAAAAATTATACAAAAAAAAAAGAAAATAAAAATTTGAAATTCCGAATGAATGAACATTACTTATGATGATGAAATAATAAAGGGTAAAAATAAAAAAAGAAATCCCTTAAAATTTGATTCTATTTTTTATACAAAAGATTTGAAAATTCTCGGTCTATAATGACCGCATATTTGTATGAATACATATATATATATATATATATATATATATTATATATATATATAAATATATATATATAAATTAAAATAAGTAAAAGGCGAGATGTCCAACTAAGATTTGAATAAAAGGAAACAAAAGGATGCAAAAGAACAAAAAAAAAATTGTTATGTAAGGAAAAATATTAAATTGAAGCCTAGAAGATGTTTTTTTATAACCCTCTTTCATTTTTTTTTTTAATTATTTAGTTCGGTCTCAATCAAATAAATTTCTGTGAAGAATAAACAAATGGCTAATAGGCTATTTAAATGTATAAGTATAAGAATTTTTTTTTGGTACTGCAATATTATTTTAATAATATTTCAATGTCTTCACTTAGGATCTTTAAGTCCATATCTAAAAAGGAACATGAGAAATACAATTATTTTTTTTTTAATATTAAAAATTTATTCTGTTGTCTTTTTTTTCTATCTATTAAAATATGAGGAAAAAAAATGGACTGATGAACTAATAAATGTTAATGTCCTTTATAAGAATAACTGATTATATTTTATGTAGAAACCGGCCAGGTGTGTGGCATTTACTTAGTTAAGAAAAAAAATTATTAAGGTGTTTGCGTTTCTCAAAATTAATATTCAATTGAAAATTTTAATTTATATGCATTTATGCAATTCAACATGAGGTCGTCCTATAAATTTATTTTTTAGTTTCACAGTTTTTTTTTCTTCGTCAGTAAATTTTTGTAATTTGAGAACTTTTGTCCAGCATACGTAAATAATTCATTTTAGCAATATTAAGTCTTATGAATATACTTCCAATAATATTTGTACTGCTTTAAATTTATGAATATTATTAACTTCTATAGTTAAATAATATTAAATTGTTTTAAATTCTAGAGAATAAGGGCCTTCTAGAGAAT